TCCACTCTCAAGTTATTCTGTTGTCATAATTAAATAGATACAAGGGCTGTTTAATAAACAATGTGATTGATGGTATAGAAAAAAAAATGGGGTAATATTTTGTTTATGATTTTTCAAAACAGCCTCCTTCCTTTCCAATACACTGCTCCTACCACTTTAACCCCCACCCCCCCCCTGTGGTTATGTTTGAGAAAATTTATAAAACAAATAAAAACTAGTTTAATTATACAAATTGGTCATGCATGATGTAAACAGTACAGGAACCTCTTGATTTATATGATAAATACTTTCTTGAAAATGGTCATGTAAATAAAAAACACGTAAATCAAACAATGTAAAAAGCGGAGATTAGGGGGTTTTGTTATTAATAAGACAGCGCCCAATATTATACCAGGAAATATAAAATACTCCAGACCTTTGCCTGCTTCACAGGCATGCTGATGGGAACATTTTTGTCAGTTTGATGTTTGATCCATGTGATCAACATTTGTTCCTTAATCAAACTTCTTGAATATGAGGGTTTAAATGCACTGACTAATGTTCCACTCTTGGCACTCTCCTTGATCTTTTCTGCACTATCATGAATAGTCCGTAAAGTAGATTCACCAAGATCAAGGGCACGTGTAATATCAGTTGTAAGTTCACCTCTCTTAACATTTGAGCACATCTGTCTTAATCTCAGTGGTGATGGCCTTAAGCTTCGAAGCACCACTGGTATCAGGATATTGTAAAGGACGCTTTCGTGGCAGGATGCAAGGGGCAAAACACGTGCAATATACAGTACAGTATACTGTACTGTAGCACTCCATTACTATAGACTGTATCCACAAACTGAGGACTGCAAGGTGAGAAGCTGTATACCCATACAACTCGTATGGCAGTCAACATGATACGACTGCGCTCCCAGCCTAATGATGATATTTGTCGATGGTTGTATTATGCCAAACATGAGCCCAGGTAAATTAAAAAATAGGTGTAAATGAACCGTGCGCATTATTATAAAAATGGTGTAAAACAAATGCTTGTGAATCGAGATATGCCTGTATAGAAATATATATACTTACCACAGGTTGGCATCACCGGAGCTAGGAAGAGTCGAGGATATGTGTGAAGTGGGGTGAGGTTGGCAGTACAATGTAAACAACACTAATTTGTAGGCAGTATGAGATACAGGACACTTGTTTTATCATATTACTATTTTAACTACAGTACTTAGTTATTTTTACTGCCTCCAGTAATTGATCACAAATCTGTTGATGGTAAAGACCCCCAACTACATTTGCATTTGGGGGGGAAACATGCGGCATATGAAGTCAATGGGTGAGATCCCTTCTTCACAAAAACTAAAAAGTTTCTGAGAAGGGAGGCATGAGCAACCAAATGATAAATGCCTACTTGGCAACATAGACTATTCAGACCTGCATGGTGATTCAAACATGAACCGAAGCCCTGTAAGCACCTTTGTGTTGAGTACTATATGCCCACCAGGGTGTTATTCAGTTCTTGTTAGATTCAAAACAGGAGCCTCAAATCAGTTTTGAGAAGCAAAAAAGTGACACTCCAGCCTTAGTGAAGTTGGGGAATTTTTCATTGTTTTAAATACATTTGGTATTTTAGCACATGGAAATACTAATTTATTGTAACAATCTGTCCTCTGGGTATGTAATGGCACTCTGCACTGATTTTTATGTTATCTTTGGCTCTCGTTTTGGGTGTGGTGTGACCTCTTAGCGTTAAATCCCTTGTGACCAGAAGAAACCTTTTTGTATCACCCAAAATTCTTGTATGATGCAGAAGTTTATCTTGGTATGCTTGTTAAATCATGTAGTTGTACTGTGCCACTAGCAAAATTTGATAACCACCCTTTGATTTGCAAATCTGTAATGAATTGGCAATACATTACTACCATATTCTATAAACACACTGCCTTGACTATATGATATTGATTAGATGGCATAACTCATTGATGCAGACTAAAACAAGTTCTAACTTTTTATTTTACACTTATTGTGTAACATAATGAGTATCCAGTTTAATTACTTATTGAGCAGCCCTCAGAGTAAGTAATAAATGGGGAGGAATTAGATTACAGTTTAGAACATATGACATTTCAGGTACTGTACATGAATAATACGTCCTCTATCCTATATCCACTTATTGTATGGTACAGCGTGCTGTGAAAACAAAGGTGAAAGGTACTAAAATTCTGGATAATGTGCAATTCATTTCACTTTGCTGGAAGATAATTGTAATTTCAGTGTGGGTATTATTCATTTATTACATTTATAATTTTTTTCTCTACTTAATTGAGAAAAAAAAATTATATATAGATTGACAACCCTTTATCCGAAAACCGTAAAGCTCTGAAAACCGAATTTTTTTTTTTTTTTTTTAACAGGGATTAGCACACCCAGGCATAGATCACTGACCCACATCGGGGCCTGGGGGGCAAAAATGTAATGGTAATAATAATTATAATAATAATTATTCATAGTAAATAAAAATGTTAATAAAAATACACCAAAATAAAATAATAATGATAACAATAATAATAATACTAAAAAAATATATTAATAAAATCAATAATAATAATAACAATAATACTGTAATAATAAAATAATAAAGAAATACAAGAATGAAAAAAAGATCAAAAGTGAGAAACACGACCTAGACCTATGAATTATTATTATTATAATTTTATATTTTCGCTACCCCTCCCCCAGGCCCCAATGTGGGTCAGTGATCTATGCCCGGGTGAGCTAATTCACATTAAAAAAGAAAAAAAAATTATGAAAACCGAAAGATTCCAAAATCCGAAATGCCTCTGGCCCCAAGGATTTCGGATAAAGGATTGTCAACGTGTGTGTGTTTTTTTTTTTTTTTTTTTTTTGGAAACAATATGAGACCATGGATAATAAATTTTGGTATATGAAGACTGTCACTAGTCATGTAAAATTTCAGAGCATATCGACCCCCACCTGCACAGATAGTTGTTTTAGCTACTGTACAGGGGTATACATGTGTTGAGATGGATGAAAGGTTACCTTTTTTACAACAAAACATTCCATTTATGATGTGCTTAATGTAAAGTTGTTGTTTTCTTTTCTTTTCTTTAATTTACAGATCATTGTACTGGGTAGTTTCATATTTAACCCATCAAAAACTTTTACTACCAATTACAGAGCATATTACTCTGTACAGGACAAACAAGTAGTATCAGTAACACTGAATCCTCTATGCAACTTCTATCTTTTGTATAACTTCACTATTACTCAGATAATGCAGTGTGTTTAGCAGTAATGAGTTAAAAAAAATAGATTTTTTCATATTAAGCTTTGATACTGATCATAATGAAAAAAAAAAGATCCAGTACTATAAATTCATTCATGTTTCTTTCATTTAGTTAATACATATTCACCTAACACCAATGCCATTTAATATTAGGTAAATCCAGTGATATACTGGATTGAAAATATATTGGGTTTGAAAGCCACCACTGAACCCCAGATCCCTGTACTATAGGAACAGAGTCAGAGTAGCGGAGATAGAAAATAGTGAGATACGTATTGTATTTATGAAGAGACGGAGAAATATGTCAAAGGAAGTAGTACTGAGGATGTACAGGGTGTCCCATAAATTTCCATACATAGGAAAAATATACCTTTTTATATGAAAATCCATTTTTATTTATATAATATGCTCTACATGACTACATTTTTCCTATGTATGGAAATTTATGGGACACCTTGTTTTAGGGAACTGTTGATTTGACATTATGCTGTGGGTGTGAATCGTGGGTTCTGGATACATCATTAAGTAGCATATTAGAAGCAACAGAAATGATGCACTTGAGAGTATTATGTGGGGTGAATACTGTACTGTGATATGCAAAGAGCTAGAAACTGTAATATAGTCAAGACCAAAAATGAGACCATTTGTAAGTTTAGCCTTCATGAATCAGTTGAAGATTAGCCCTACAAGTGCTCACCTGAAGATCCCCCTCCCCCCCTTAGCTTAACCAGCCTGAAGTTTAACCACCTTAAAACTATATGAGAGGCTAATCTTCAGGTGATCAATAAAGGCTAAAATTGTGAATGGTCTTGGTCTTTATCTCATTCTTGACTACTGTACAGAAATTAGTAGAGTTGATCAGGGTTTACCAATATGGTTCAGATATTTAGGGAAAGGGAAGTGAAAATTTGGTAAAATGTGTGTAATTAAGAGATAGGTGGATGGGAGGGAAAGGGGAACTCCAAGAAGGAAATAGTATGATCAAGTGAAGTGTGTAGTAGAAAAGAGAGGGATGGACATCTGGGAAGCAGTGGTGTTTGTGAATGAACAAAAAAAGAGCATGATGTTAGTTTTCTATTTTGATAAAAGTAGTCATCTTATTTGCCTTATTACTGTGTTTTGTGTAAGGTTGCTCATGAATAACAATAGTCCTAGCTAATGTAAATACTCTGGTAAATTCTCAGAAAATCTGGCTTCATGACTTTCAAATAGACACATAGACTTGGCTCCATAAGCAGTTTGATGACGGCTTTCAGAGTTTACAAATCCTTAATCAGAAAAAATATCACATTCTTTACAGTAGTGGATAAACTAGTGTTTCTGATTTTTTTATTGTAGAAAATCTGTCTTTCATAATGTCATTCCGTAGACGAGTTCTGTAGACTTGACAAAAAATTGCTGTTGATTGTCTGACTGTAGTGGTGATGGGCAAAAACAATAGTGAAGATAAATAGTATTTCATTGTAATTTCTGTACAGACTTAGAATAAGGTCATTCATGTAAATTTGGAGACTGGCAAGTTTTAGCCACCATGTTACAAATACTACAATGTCTTTCTCAAGTACAAAACTGTTTCCAGACCTTGTATATTGCTTGTAAAAATAGCTTTAGTATAAGACACTGAAAATATTGTATGATTTGTATGTTTTGCACATATATAAAGAACACTTATTGTAAATTAGTACATTATTTTTCCCATGGCAAATAAAAAAGTTATTATACTCTTTCATTATTTATTTTTCAGTTTTGATCAATACTATTAGTACAGTTATGTTATTATAATGGACAAACTTTAACTTGATGAAGAATCTCCAGTGGGTTCTACAGTTGTTATATTATCAGTAGAAAACATGCCCTCTGGTGTTGGCTTGGCCTCAGGTGCTGGAGTTGTCTCTTTGCTCGGAACTGCTGATCCTGGTGCTGACTCAGGTGCTACTGGCATTAAAGGGGCCCAAAACATGTTACCTAAGCAAAAAAAAATGCAAACTTTAGATTTAATTGTTAATTAGAAAGCTTTGAGGAATCAATGACATACACATACAGTTCATTAAATAAATTTCATAATGAGGTTCACTATGTTACCAAATACGTCGTCCATGAGAGTAGTGTGCTGAAATTGTTTTTATGGTTAATTTGTATGATTTAGGGTATTATGAAAAAAAAATTTGCTGGTGCTATATTTGGCAGCCATCTTATTTTTTTTATCTGAAAACACCAATTTCACTACTTATTGTTGGGTGTACATAAAAAAAGGTAGTACAGTAATACTAATATACGTACAAACCTCAATAAACGGACTTAAATATATCATTATTTGCTTTTTATGGACTCTGGGGTGCTCCAGACTGCCCCTCTATTTATCAGAAATATTTAAAAAGTCCGGAAAATCTTGCATCAATCCGGACAGTTTGTGTTCGTACATGCGTGCGTGTCACGCAGCACATACCTCAGTCCGAGTCCCACATTCATACGTACCACCTACCCCATCAACGTCTCGTGTCAAAATATTATTAAGTTTATACAGTTGGCATTAAGTATAGTTTGCCAAGTAAGAAGAACCACACACTACTGAACCTGTATTGTTTAAGTTGTAAATAGAAAATTATTACTATCCAGTTTAAGTACCAAACAATTAACATACTGTTCTGTAGAAGTATCTCACACTAAATTGTACCTGAACATTATAAGTGCATCATCTACTTCCGTTTACAGCATTCTAATACAGTGGTCCCTCGGTTAACAAACACAATTTGTTCCAGAGTCGTTCGTTAACCGAATCCATTATTTCAATGGGATATTGGGTAATTGGTTCCAGCTCACAGAAAAGTAGATACAAAGTAAAGCCAAAAAGTGCATAAAGTCAGAAACACTCCTAAAATTCCCCTAAATCGCCCTTAAATCACTAGATATATATATACGTACATAAACACTAGAACTCTTAAATCACTACTGTAATGTGATACAGGCGATTAATTTTTATCTCGTGCAAAATATATGACGTTTATATTCAAATTATTCGCTGTCTCGCAAGGATTCCAGCAATGCAAATTATATTCTCATAACTTTAGTCTGTGATATTATATAAGATAAAAACTTAAAGCCTAAAACCCTGGCTGGGGAGAGGGAGGGAGGTGAGGTGATATGTTTGACAGTTGGAGCCGAAGGTCTAATGTGTGTGTATTTATCAGTCCTTAAGAGTGACTAAGCTTTTCTCTTATAAAATGCCAGTGAAATGACCTGGGAGAATATAATTTACATTGCTGGGATTCTTGTAAGATAGTGATTAATTTGAATAAAAACAAGCTATAATTTGCACTAGACATAAAAATTTTAGTACAGTAATCATTTAGTACATGTACAGTACAGGTTTGCACTTAGGTCATTTATTTCTTTTACATTTCTTTTAGTATGGTGTGTGCATGTAAATGAATAAAAATAAATGACATTTTTTTTGTAAATCTACCCAAAAATACAGTTGAAAAACTGTACATTATTAAAATGTACTACAGTACACTAATGTACTAAAAATTTTATCTCTTGTGCAAAATATATGACATTTCTAATCAAATTATTCACTGTCTTGCAAGGATTCCAGCAATGCAAATTATATTCTCCTAACTTTAGTCTGTGATATTATATAAGATAAAAACTTAAAGCCTACTGTATAACCACCAAACCCTGGCTGGGAGGGAGGGGAGAAAAAAGTGACATGTTTGACAGTTGGCACTGAAGATCTAGTGAAGTATTTATTTGTTTATTTATGTCCTTTAGATCGAGTTTTTGTTTTTTGTTTATAAAATGTCATAGAAGTGACCAGGGAGAATATAATTTACAATGCTGGAATTCTTATAAGATAGTGATTAATTTGAATGTAAACATGCTATAGTTTGCACTAGACAAAAATTTTAGTAATCATTTTGTACATTATTTTAATAACATGTACAGTACAGCTTTGTCCTTCAGACAGTGTGTGCATGTAAATGAGTTTCAATAAATGAATAAAGTTACATACAGGCAGTCCCCGACTTACAACAGGGTTAGGGACCCAAATCCAGGTCGTAAGTCGAAAATGCAAAAAATAATACATAGAAAATCTAAAATGAAATACAGTACAGTAAAAGTAATCAATAATGAAGAATGAATATAGTGTTACTGTGCACTTACCTTTAATGTAGTCAGCTGAATGCACACGGAGCCCCAATAATTTTTTAATTAAGCACGGACTACATTAATTGGATGAAGCAGAGGAGACAGGGCTGGGTGGGTCATCAATTTCGCTTTCTTCAGACAGGCTAACATACTTGCTTGTTGAAGGTATTGGATCATCTTTAGGGAGTGAAGAGGCGGCACTGGTGGGGTGTGAGGAGACAGCAGTGGAGGACTTCTTAAAATATATGTCCAATTTAGACTGCACAGTTTGCCTTTTCTTTTCATTGTAAACTCCCTGTAGCAAGCAAGTGCATCTTGGATCATTCTGTCAACTTTTGTAAAACGCTCAACATTTTGATCCATTTCGTCAAACATTTGCATACCCTTATTAATAGTAGCAAATGCCTCTGCCATTTGTTTCACTGAAAATTATTTGGGGGGTGCAGGTGGTTCTTCTACATTTTGACTCTCTTCTTCCTCTGCAATTTTCTGTGCATCCAGTTCAATAAGATCCTTGTTACTCTATCTCTTCTGCTACACTTTCAACCAACTGCTCAATATCTTCATTATCAATTTCTAACTCCAGCTCTTTACCCAACTCCACTATCTTGTTACTAATCTCAGAAATTAATTCATATTCATTAAATCCTTTGAAACTGTTCACATATCTTTTCAGGACTTTCTTCCATATTCCATTCATGCACTGACCTGTAACCTCATCCCATGCTGCAGCTATGTTCTTTATACATTTCACAATGTTGTAGCCCTTCCAAAACTCTCTGAGCATTTTCTCACCTTCAGTAGCAGCAACAGCCTGAGCGAAGGTCGTACATAAATAATACGCTTTAAAAGCAGCAATAGCACCTTGATCCATGGGTTGGATGATAGAGGTAGTGTTTGGTGGAATGTAGACGACCTTAACATCAGGGTGCAGGTCGTCCAGGTGTGGTGGGTGTCCAGGAGCATTATCTAATATTAATAAAATCTTGAATGCAACCCCTTGTTGCAAACAATACTCCTTGGCTCATGGAATGAAACAACTCGGGAACAAATCCTCAAACAGTACTAGGGTCATCCATGCTTTCTTATTACTGCAATAAAACACTGGCAGTGTGTGCTTGCTGATATGTTTAAAAGCCCTGGGGTTCTCTGAATGATATATCATGAAGGGTTTTATCTTGAAACCAGCTACACCCCCTCCCCCCCCGAACAGAAGTGTGATTCATGCCTTGAATCCCGGCATGCTTTTCTCCTCTTTGTGGATGTATGTTCGTTCTGACATGCGCTTCCAGAATAATCCAGTTTGGTCCACATAAAATATTTGCTCAGGCAAATAATTCCCTCCACTATGACACGATCTAGCTCCTCCTTAAAAGCTTCGGCAGCACCCACATCAGCACTTGCTGCCTCTCCACTCGCCTTTACACTGTGCAAACTGTCACGTTTCTTGAACCTTTGGAACCACCCATGACTTGCTGTGAAGTTTTAGTCACACTCATCACCCGCCTGCTCTTTCAGGCTTTCGAAAAGGCTTCTTGCCTTAGCCTGTATGGTTAGAAGGCTTAAGGGTACACACTTTTGTATCTGATCTTCCATCCACACCACAAGTAATTTTTCCATCTCATGAATAGGACCTTGTCTTTTTTTTTTTTTATTATTGTTCCCTTTATAGGTGCTGATCTTTCACTACCTCACGAATTCGTTCCTTGTCTCTCACTCTGTCAAAAGAAGCCTAGGTCACGTGAAATGGTTACTACCGTTTTTCCATTTTCATATTGCTATTATTTTCATTTTCATCTCAAAAGTAACTGACTGTCTCCTTTTCTTCTGAGCATCACCAGAACTCTCACTTTTACGCTTTCCAGTCATTCTAAAGAGAATTAGAAACGAAAATATTGTCAGTACACAGCGCGATCACTACCAACAACAACGACAGCCAAACACCAACTGAGTGTGCTACGGCATGGACGCTGTACACCACGCGGCAACCCAGCCCACGCGACGCTCTCGTAAGGGACGGAAACATTTCAGTCCAAGAAAATAAGTACAGAGTTTGAAAAAGTTTTGGTACGACTGAGGTGGTCGTATGTCCGGATGGTCGTATGTCGAGTAGGTTGTATGTCCGGATCATCGTATGTCGAGTAGGTCGTATGTCCGGATGGTCGTATGTCGAGTAGGTCGTAAGTTGAGGACTACCTGTATATCGAGCCAAAAATATTAGTTAAAAACTATATGTAGACAGAGCTTGGATGGCTAAATTTTAGAATGACCAATAATTTTAATATAAAAAATGCAAAAATATTCAAGAACACAACCTTCTTGATATTTACTCCACTGGAAACAAATGTAAACACAGAACAAATTACTGTATTGGTGGACTAGCTGATCAGCTGATGCTCACAACAAAACGTGTTTGTCGTAAGGATTTCGTTAATTGAAGTTTTGTTCGTTAACCGAATTGAAGATCCTTATGGGAGCTAATTTGTGAACCAAAATTTCGTTAATCGAACTGTTCATTAACCGAGGGACCACTGTAATGTAAATAAAAGCACCTTTATGAATTTTATAGCATTTGCTCTGTTTAACATGTACAGTATTGTCTTTAATGGGATACTGTACAGTGGTCAAATTAGATTTGATGTAGACCTCAGGAGAGCTAATAGGTGCAGAGATGAAACTTCATGTACAGTATAAATGCGGTGGAGGGGAGACTTGCTGTTGCCAGTTCGCCAATTTGTTTTTATTTATTCATTATTATATTCTCGTATGATCAGCCTCGTACGGTGTATATTTCCTCATCAATAATATAACATTAA